GGAGCGGTTAAGACCCCCTATTTCGCTGGCCACGCAGGGGGGGGCCTTAACCGGCGAGCTAAGGGGTCTCAACCGCTCCGCGCCCGAGCGCGGAACGGAAAAGACCCCCTATTGCGAGAGGGGCGTATTAACCAGCATTCGATCGATCGCGCAGCCGTTGAGACCCCCCCCTCTCGCCAGGGGGGACCCTTAACCGTTTCACAATCGATTGCGAGGCGGTTAAGGGGCGGCGGCGGCGGCGGCGGCGGCGGAGCGCTTAACCGTTTCACAATCGATCGCGCAACGGTTAAGACCCCCCCCTGGCGAGAGAGGGGGTCTTAACCGTTGCGCAATCGATTGTGAAACGGTCAAGGGGCGGCGGCGGCAGCGGCGGCGGCGACGGAGCGCTTAACCGTTCGGCAATCGATTGCGCAACGGTTGAGGCCCCCCTGGCGAGAGGGGGGGTCTTAACCGTTGCGCAATCGATGGTGAAACGTTTAAGCGGTTGCGGGGCGGCGGCGGCGGCGGCGGCTGCGGCGCTTAACCGCATCACAATCGATTGCGCAACGGTTAAGGCTCCCCCCTGGCGAGAGGGGGTCTTAACCGTTGCGCAATCGATTGCGAAGCGGTCAAGGGGCGGCGGCGGCGGCGGCGGCGGCGGAGCGCCTAACCGTTTCACAATCGACTGCGCAACGGTTAAGACCCCCCTGGCGAGAGGGGGGTCTCAACCGTTGCGCAATCGATTATAAAACGGTTAAGGGGCGGCGGCGGCGGCGGGTAGGTTAGGGCTCCCAGGGAGCTCTAACATGGTACGTTTCAGCTCCGAACTCCCACGGAGCTCTAACATAGCATGTTAGAGTACGTTAGAGCTCTCTGGGAGCTCGAACATCGTATGTTACAGCTCAGTGGAAGCTCTACAATAGCACGTTAGAGCTCCATGGGAGATCTAACATGCCATGGTAGAGTTCCACGGGGGCTCTAACATAGCATGTTAGAGCTCCACGGGAGCTCTAACATCCTATCTTAGAGCTCCCAGGGAGGTCTAACGTAGCTTGTTCGAGCCCCCTGAAGCTCGAACATACCATGTTAGAGCTCCCTGGGGGCCCTAACATGCCATGTTAGAGCTCCCTGGGAGCTCTACCATGTGAGGGAAATCGACTAACGAAGGGGGATCCCTCAAATCGCCCTGCCCCTCGGGAGCCCACACAATAGCCTCCTGGACCCCTCTTGGGGCGCCCTTGGGGCCGTATTAGTATTGGGGCTCTCTTGGCCCCCTTGTGGGGCCCTCTTGGGCCATCTTGGAGCCACCGCGGGACCTCGGATGGTCATCGGAAGCGAAAAGGCGAGAAGGCACAAATCACATATTTTCTGAAAGTTTTTAAACGATGTTGGGATCTTGGGGGCCTCCTTGGAGGTCTCCGAGGCCCCTTGGGGACGTCTTGGGGCGTTCTTGGGGCCCCTTGGAGAATCTTCGGGGCCATCTTGAGGCATCTTAGGCTATCTGAAAGCATCTCGGAGGTCATCTTGGGCTCTCCGAGGCGCTCTTGGAGCCGTCTTGGGCCATCTTGGGCTCTCTAACTACCCGCGGGGCGTCCCGTCCAGGTCCAGGGGAGGGGGTAGGGGGAGGGGGAGCGTGAGGGGGAGGAGAAGGAGGAGGATGAGGAGCAGGAGGAGCAGGATAGCAGGAAAAAGGGTGAGCAGGAGGAGGGCCATGGGCCATGGGGGATGCTGATTACGATGGTGACGCTGATGATGACGATGGTGATGGTGATGATGATGTTGATGATGATGATTTTTTTTTTTTTTTTTTTTTTTTTTTAAAATCAACCACCCCCGTTTTGGTTTTGGTTAGTTCTGACCTCGATGATGTTGATGATGATGGTGATGACGATGATTATGATGATGATGATGACGACGATGCTGGTGATGATGATGGCGACGGCGACGATGATGACGATGACGATGACGATGCTGATGGTGATGCTGACGACGACGACGACGACGATGATGATGATGATGACGGTTAGGGCTCACATGGAGCTCTAACAAAGCATGTTAGAGCTCCCAGGGAGCTCAAGCATAGCATGTTAGAGCTCCCAGGGAGCTCTAACATACCATGTTAGAGCTCCCTGGGAGCTCTAACATGGCACGTGATACCACGTTAGAGCTCCCAGGGAGCGCGAACATCCTATGTTAGAGCCCCCATGGAACTCTAACATAGCATTTTAGAGCCCCGTGGGAGCTCAAACATGCCATGATAGAGCTCCAAGGGCCCTCCCTCTCCCCCGCCGCCGCCGCCGCCGCCGCCGCCGCCGCCGTCGTCGTCGTCGTCGTCGTCGTCGTCGTCGTCGTCGTCGTCGTCGTTTCTGATGTCGCTGTCCTCGCCGCGAGGAGGAGGAAGAAGGAGGAGGAGAAAGTGGACACGGAGCAGGGAGGTGAGGGAGGGGGAGGAGAGATGAGGAAAAGGAGAGGAGAAGAAAGATAACGACAGGGAGGAGAAGGAGAGGAGAAGGAGAGAGAGGAGAAAGAGAGCTCTAACAGAGGGAGGGAGGAAAGAGAGGAGAAAGAGAGCTCCAACAGAGGGAGTACGGCAGAGAAGGAGAGGGAGGAGAAGGAGATGAGAAGAAAGAGAGCTATAACATGTCATGTTAGAGCTTCCATGGGAGCTCTAACATGCCACGTTCGAGCTCCATGGAGCTTTAACATGCTAACATAGCATGTTAGAGCTCCCTGGGAGCTCTAACATGCGACGTTAGAGCTCCCAGGAGCTCGAACATGACATGTTAGAGCTCCCATGGAACTCTAACCTGCTATGTTAGGGCTCCCAGGGACACATGCGATGTTAGAGCTCCCAGGGAACTCCCACGGATTTCTAAACAGCCCCTAATACAGCCCCTCTGAGGAAAGGGTACGCGCGCAATGCGGGGGTATTACTCCCGGGGTGCGGTGCTGATGTTGCTGCTGTTGCTGCTGCCAGTGCTGCTCTTGCAGCTACTGCTTACGCTGCTGGTGCTGGTGGTGAGTGCGGTGCTGGTGGTGCTGCTGGTGCTGCTGCTACTGCTGCTGCTGCTGCTAGTGGTAATGCTGCTGCAGGTGCTCGTGGCGCTGCTGCCGGTGCTGCCAGTGATGCTGCTGCTGCGGCTGTCGCTGCTGCTGTTGCTGATGGTGTTGCTGCTGGTGCTGCTGCTGGTGCTAGTGTTGCTGCTGCTGGTGGGGGAGGGGGGAGGCGGAAAAGAGGAGGAGGAGGGGGATGAGGGGGAGCGTGGGGAGGAGGAGAAGGAAGAGGATGAGGAGCAAGAGGAGCAGGATAGCAGGAAAAAGGGTGAACCGGAGGAGGGCCATGGGCCACGGGGGGATGCTGATTATGATGACGATAGCGAGGATAATGATGATGATGATGATGATGACGACGACGATGATGATGATGCTGAGGATGAAGATACTGCTGCTGCTGATGATGATGATGGTGATGATGAAGAGGAAGAGGAAGAAGAAGAAAGGCGAGGAGAGGGGGATGCAGGGTACGAGGCACAGGGGGATCAGGAGGATGAGCAGGAGGAAGAGGAAGAGGACAACGACGACGAGGATTCGTGGGAGGAACACAATAGAAGGTTGGATGGATGACCAGGTACGTGGGGGGAAAGGAGAGGAGGATGAGGAGGCGGCTGCGGAGAGGATGTGTCGTCGTCGTCGTCGTCGTCGTCGTCGCCGTCTTCACCTCGTCGTCCTCGTGGAAGTCGTCGCCGTCGTAAGGGCCCAACCCCATGCAGCTGCGAGTAACGCAGGATGACTCTCTCCTCATAGGCAGCGCGCCGCCAGAGGGGTGGAGCCCGAGGCATTGCGGATGGGGGCCGCGAAGCGTCTGAGGGGGTTGCCGAAATGAGGCGGACGCGCAAAATGGAAATGCCCAGTGGAGCCTTCGGCGGAGCTGCACGTGAGGCCGACAAGACGAGTGAGGGTGTGCCTTAATGGGACGACGACAACGACGACCGCGACGACGACGACGACGACGACGACGACGACGACGACGGCGGGGGGGGCGGCATGCGGACGTGCCCGATGGGACGACGACGACGACGACGACGACGACGACGACGACGACGACGACGACGACGACGACGGCGGGGGGGACGGCTCGATGGGAGCTCTAACATGCTACGTTAGAGCTCCCATCGAGCTCCAACATAGCATGTTAGAGTTCACAACCCTCACATCGAAATCTAACATCGCATGCTAGAGCTCCCAAGGAGCTCTTACATAGCATGTTAGAGCTCCATGACATTACCTTGAGCCAAGTCCTACGGACCACAATGGTGACGATGGTGATGGTGATGGCGATGCTGATGGTATGGATGGTGATGGTGATGGTGATGGTGATGGTGATGGTGATGGTGATGATGATGATGATGATGATGCTGATGATGATGATGATGATGATGATGATGATGATGGGGATGGTGATGATGGTATGGTGAGGGCGGTTGTGATGGTGATGATGGTGATGGTGATGATGGCGATTGTGGATGTGATGAGCACCGCCATCATCACCATCACCATCGCCACCACCATCAGCACTACGATTTCATAACCACCATCATTACAATCGTCGTCGGCATCAAAACACAAAAACACTCAACCAACTCAACCTAAACCCGCCCTACAGACAGCCACGGGAGGACGGAAAGGTGGGGTAGGGGGCAGAGGTGGGGTTCGAGGAGATTCTGTCGATGGTTTTTACTTGGACCAAGGGGCTACAGATTAGCATGTACAGTCAACACGCCTCCAAGATGCAGGCGAGCGCATCGCCTTGCATCTTCTCTGTACTGCGGCTCGAGCCTCCCTTCTGAAGGCTCAAGCTCAAGCCAAAGCGGGCGTCCCCGCCGTGGCTCCCGCGCGCCTGCGCCTGACGCGCGCCCTCGGCTCAAAGGAGCGGCCTCTGGCCGCGCCCTCACCCGTCTTGGGTGGCCCTCAAAGGGTCTTTCTTTCGGCGCGGACCTACCCCGTGCTGCTGAGAAGCGCGCCTAGGTGCGCGCCTAGGCTAGCGTCCGAGCGGAACGCTCGGATGGGCACCCTGCCTGGGACCAGCCGCGCGGCCCATGCCGCTGCAGCTAGCCCCTCACTGCTGGCCATGTGCTGGCCGCCGTCCCTCGTCAGACGGACGATGAGGTCCGCCTTCAAGCCGCCCACTGGCAACTTCCGCCACCTGAGCTCCTCCTTGAGCTCTGCCACGGTGGCCTCAGCCAGCATCTTCCCGAGGTACTCCGAACCGAGGTCTCGCCCTGTGGCGACCCGCTCAGGCGCGGCCATCGCCGCCGCCCGAGAAACGACATTCCCTTCAGGCGCGTCCTTCGACGACGCCTCGGGCCTCGCCGTGTCGTCGGCCTGCGGGGCAGCCCTCGCCGCTCCCGCTGGTGGGGCAGCACTCGCCGCCCTCGATGAGAAGAGCTGTACCGCCCCCCTCGTACACATAACTGCGCCCTTGACCACGAGCACCAGCACGATGATGAACATGATCATGGCGAGAACGATCGAGCCGATGTTCGACTCGACCTCGTCGTCGGCGGCTGCAGAGCACTGCTTGTCTCCATGCTCGGCCGCCTCCGCGAAAGTGACGCCCACACCTGCGGCGAGCCCCTTGGTCAGAAGCCGCAGGTTGGACATCTCCAGCAACTTGAGCACCCGCTTGCCGTCCAGATGCTTGGTCCCCAAGTCGCTCCTGTTGCTCTCCGTGTCGACTCGCCCGAGCTGCAACTCGCCGAGCCTGACTCGTTCCTGCACCCACAGGTCCCGTATCTGTAGATGCCGTACCTTGCCACTGCCAATCCGTGTCGCGATCGCCCTGCCTGCATTCGAGTCGCTGTGAACCTTCGACGCGACCTCGATGCCACACTGCTGATAGAACTGCCGCATCATGATCGCACTCGCCGCGCCTCGGCCGATGGCATAGAACTCGGCCTCTCCGCTGCTGAGTGCGACGACGGGCTGCGATGCCACCTGGGTCTCCAGGAGGTGGCTGCCGAAGAAGCCATACACGGAGCTGGTCGATTTCCTCGTGATCTCATCCTCTGCCCAGTCCGAGTCCGTCTCGTAGAGAACCTCCTTCGGCATCTCCTGCTTCTCGTAGAACCACCCGAGCTCGCGCCGACCGTGGAGATACCGCACACACCGCCTCAGCCTAAGCATGCTGATGACTGTGGGCTTTCCCATGTCCGTAAGGATCACCTTCACTGCGAACTGGATGTCTGGCCTGTCTACCGCCACGTAGTTGACGAGCCCCGCGACCTGCTGGTAGAGCTTCGCCTCGTCGTGTGGAAGTGGGTCCAGCGCCTCCCGGACGCTCTTGCCCGTGGCCTTGCTCCCAGGCGTGTCCGCTGGCTTGCACTCCGTAAGGCCCAGCAGCTCCACGCATCTCGTCACGTGCTTCGTGTCGCCGATCCAGACGAATCCCTTGCCTGTCCACCTGATCTTGCGCTTGAGGTACGGGAGCTCGCGGACGCCATCCGGCCCGACACGACCGATGCACTTGACGTCCATGCTCGCCATCAGCTGCTGGTCCAGGACATCCAGGGACTCCTCCTCGCCCTCGGTCAGGATGTCGTCACCGTGGATCGCCGAGGTCATGTCCAAGAGAGGCTCGTGGTACACGCCCGCCGCCACTGCGATGCGCGTCCAGTTGTTCTTCTTGAACACCCCGGCCACGTACTCCTGCCAAGCCTGTGCCGCCTTGCGCGTGCCGTACATGGCCTTCCGGAGCTGCCACACGTACCCGTCTCTCCTGAGTCCTGGAGGCGGGATGACGACGATCCACTCGTCGAGGTCGGCGTGGAAGAACGCCACGTGCACGTCATGCACCGAGAGATGCCTCCGACCCTTCTTCGTAGCCGCCAAGGAGACGATCGCCCTGACGATGGCGATCGGCGGCGTGCCCGCGTTGCAGTCCTCTCGGCCGTACGTGTTGATCTCCATGGCGACGCCTCGGGAACGGACGAAGGGGGCGCCGTCCTTGGTGCGCAGGTCCTCGACCCACTTGAAACGCACCACCTTGCCCCGACTCTCGGCCACGCGGACCTCCTCGAAGACGCCGTGTCGCCGCATCTCCTCGATCTCGGCCTCGCGTCCGCGCCTGACCAGGTCCCTGGGGAGCTCCTTCCCGCTCCTCGCGTCGTACACGTGCTTCTCCGCGTCTGGCAGGACCGTGATCGCCGACGGCTCGACGGAGCCGACCTCGAACATCCCGATCTCCAGCGGCTCGCAGCTCTCGATCTCCGTGACCGTCTCGAGCTCCTCGTGAGACTGCTGGTCTAGGCCCTCATACGTGCAGGGATTGATCTCCACGAAGGCCCCGACCGCGAGCGACCCGACTGTGATCGCCGCTGTCTGGCGCGGCCTCTTCGCCGAAGCCTCGCCCTGGTCATCGCGAGGTGCCATGCTGGCATCCCCGGACGATCCTGGCCTGCCGTCTCCAGCTCCAGCCGCTGGCCCCGGCGCGGCTCCAGCCGCCGCCGGCGTCGGCGCAGCCCCCGCCGCTGCCGACGAGGGCGCGGCCTCCGCCGCTGCCCTGGCCATTTCCTCCTTGCGCAGCTCGTTCTCGATCCTCTTCCGGCACTCCTCGCTGTGCGATCCCATGCCTGTGACGCACCTCGGGCACATGGGGGTCCAGCCGTACTTGTCGATCAGCGCTCTCGTGATGTACGTCGATCTCAGCCCTGCGCCTCCTGGCCCCGTGGGCGGCGCCGGCCCGACCATCGCTGGTGGCACCAGCGCCTCCGGGCCCGCGGCTGGCAAGACCACTGGCGGTGGCGGAGGTGGCGGCAGCAGCCGCTGCTGGTTCGGCTCCACCTGAGGCGCTCCCGTCGGCACGATGCCGATCTGTGGAGCTCGGTCATGTCCCACGGCACCCCAGCGAACTTGTCCAGCTCCTCCAGCACGAACCGCTCACCCTCCGGCCGCCGTCTTACCGTGCGTACCCTTGTCGTGCGCGTCGGACCCGCCACCAGGTGCTCGTCCGAGACCTCTGTCTTGCCCAGCCACACCGCCGCGTGCCACCGAGGCTGCAGCTTGGAGGTCGGCGTGGGGTCCCTCGCCCAAACGCACTCCGCGAAGTTGACGAGCTCGCCCCGATACGGCCTCCCCTTGAGCACCTCGTAGGTCGTCTTGCCGTTGCCGTGCATCGTGAAGCGGTTGAGCTGCCAGCCAGCGTGCCGAATGAGCCAAGGTAGGAGCCCATGCTCGGCTGGGAGCTCCCGCTTGTAGTTGTCGCCCACCGAGAACAGCAGCGCCCTGATCTGCTTGCCGAGCTCCTCGTTGGCGCGCTCCACTCCACCAACTCCCTGATGGTTAGCCCGCTGAGCCGACTCGATCATCGTGGGCGCCTTCCTCTGAGCCTTGATCTCCCTCGCCAGGGCCGTGATCGACGCCTCCTGGTCGTGCTTCAGCACGATGCGATCCAGCCCCCAGTTCTCGATGGTGGCGACCGCTGTCTTGATCATGTAGGCGTCGGTACCCTTCGGCCCCATGATGCCATGAATAGCCTGGGAGTTCATGTGCACCATGTTGAGGATGCTCAGCTGGCCCAGGAAGTAGTAGTCGATCTGGACCTCGTCGCCCGTGCGCTCGTGCCCAGCCTTGTAGTGTGGGTCGTCCGTGAACTTGGATCTGACGCACACCCAGCACCAGGACCTCGCAGGGATGTGCACCAGCTCGTGCGTCCTCTGCTCGGCCAAGCTTGGCTTCACTGGATCCTTCTTGACTCGGACTGGCACGGACTCCTCGAGCTCTGCCTGCGCTGCTGGCTCGCTCGCCTCGGCCTGAGCGCGAGTCGCGGCGGCCCCTCCGCCGCTGCCGCCCTGGAGCGCGGCCCTCGCCGCTGCCCTGGACGCAGCTGATGCGCCGCCAGGCTCGCCTCCTGGCTCCTCGCCCCGCACCGGCATGACGAGCGAGTTCTTGACGCCTTCACCGTACCTGTCCATCTTGAGGTAGAACAGGTCGTTGCGTCTGACCAGCGGCACGGCGTCTGGGTCCGAGAACTCGATCGGCTTCGGGATCATGTAGCTCCCGCTCGGCGTGAATACCCACGACGTACCCTTGTCGACCGCCTGCGACACGCCCAGCACTGGCCTCTTGACGTCGGCGACCTTGTAGTCCACCCCGATCTTGTGCCCGCCCTTCGTGTACGTGACGAAGCGCTCGCCGTGGCACGGGATGTCGTCGCCGCTCGCTCCGACCAGCCTGATGCGCTCGCTCAGGTCTCTGAGCGTCTCGTGGGCCCCGTGACTCGGCGGACACACCGATCGTGCAGCACCCGAGTCCACCATGACCCAGTGCTCATTGATACCGATGATCTCCTTGCTCTCGAACGTCTCGTGCTCGCTTGCTGCCCCTGGCTGGCTCAGCTGCTCGATCGGACTGGCCCCGACCAAGAATGGCTGCCTCGGCTGCGCGTGCTCGCTTGACGCCTCTGGCGGGCTCAGCCGCTCGATCGGGCTGCCTCCGACCAAGGATGGCCGCCTCGGCTGCTCGTGCTCGCTTGACGGCCCGCTCGAACGACGGTGGATCGCTGTCGTTGCTGGGGCTGAGGGTGTCGCTGCTGCTCCACTCGATGATGATTCTTGCCCTTCTCCCAGCTCTCCCAGCTCGATCGCGAGGCACCACAATGGCTCTGCCCCGCTTTCGGTCGCGATCGCCATCACTGGCGCCGCGCTCCCCGCGGCGCTCGCCGCTGGTGGAGCTCCCGTCGGCTTCGACTCCTGCTCGACGGCGTTGGTGCCCTTCTTCTTCTTCTGCTCTGCGAGGAACTTCCTGCACTCGCTCTTGACGTGACCTGTCTTGTGGCAGTGGAAGCATCGTTTCTCGGCCCTGTCTTTGGCCGCCTGGCTCTTCTGGTCCGTGGAGTTGTCGCTGCCCTTGCCCTTCCTGCCCTTGCCGTCCTTGCCCTTCTTTCCTTTGCCCTTCGACGCCGCCTCGCGCCTCGCCTTCTCCACCGCGCTCGTGTCCATCGGAACTGGTGGCGGCACTGCTGCGATGGCGCTCCTCGTCGAGATCACCATGTGCACTTCGTTGCGCATGAGCTCCCACGTGACTAGCCTCGACGCATTGTGGACCAGATGCGCTCGAAGAGCCTCGTCCTGAATCCCCCTCTGGAGGATCGCCATCTTGATCCTGTCCCCAATCCTCTCGTGGCTCTGGCTCTCGTACTTCGTGACTTTGAAGTCGAAGTCCGCCAGCATCCCCACGATGTTGTCCTCTGGGAACTGGAACGCGATCAGCTCTTGCAGCAGTCCTGCATGGCGACCTGGTCTGTCGGGCTCGTACATGTCTTGCAACGTCCTCCACGCCCGATAACCTTCTCCGACGCCGACTGGCTTGATGAGCTGCAGTGCGGCTCCTTCCAGCAGCAGGACGAGGATAAAGTACAGCTGGCGACTGCGCTGACTCGCTCCCTCCTCCAGGAGTCTCGCGTTCCTCACTTCCTCCAGCGGGAACGTCATGGCTGCTGTCAGCTCGTTGGCCATCTGCTCGTCGAGGGCCCCGAGGTACGCGAGCATCTTGAAGCTCCACCCTGGCCACTCGTCCTCGCTGCCTCCGAACGCCTTCGGCTTCGCCAGAAGCCGAGTGTCCACCAGGTCCTGAGGCGCGGCCCTCGCCGCTGCCACGGGCCTGTTCACGGCGGCGCCTGCGCTCGCTGCTGCTGACTCCGCCGCCAGGGCGCGCTCCTCTGCAGCCTGCACCCGTTGTTCTGCAGCCTGCAACGCTCCCTCGAGCGCCTGGAAGCGTCTCTCGATCTCCTCCATACTTCAGATCGAGCTTCTCGTCGAACTTCCTACTCCTCAAGATGTCTGCTTTGTTCGACCTCGAGCCACGCTTAGTCTTCTTCTTCTTCTTAGGCGGCGTGCTGGGCTATGAAGGGTCGGCTGGCGCGGCCCTCGCCGCTGCCAGCCGCCAGGGCGCGGCCTCCGCCGCCGCCCTATCGCGGGCGCGCGCGCCCGCCGCGGGTGGCTGGAAGGGAAGCGGCAGCGGGAATGAACCCACGCCGCTCCGCTACCATGTCGATGGTTTTTACTTGGACCAAGGGGCTACAGATTAGCATGTACAGTCAACAGATTCGTTATGAATGGCCCCTGGAGGAATTGAGAAGATCCTGCTGGGTTCGTTCTCTAGCCCCACCTCGGGATACCCCCTTCTCTAAGAAGCCCTGAGGTTGAGCACGGGTTTCAGCCGGATTGCGTGGGATCCGGTTCTCGATCACGAATATACGAGTGCCGATGCCGAAGTGAAACTCCCGGGATCTGCATCCCTTTCAAAATGTCCCCTGATCTTCGTCTCCTCCCGTCTCCTCCTGCAAGTCCTCCTCCTCCCCCTCCCCCTCCTCCTCCCATTCCCCCTCCTCCGCCTCCTCCTCCTCCTCCTCCTCCTCCTCGGTCACCGTTCCTTCCTCCTCCTCCTCCTCCTCCTCCTCCTCCTCCTTCATGTCCTTCCCTTCCTGCTGCTCCCGCTTTAAACAGCGCTGCTGCTCCTCCCATTCGTAGTGGTGATTCTTCACCGCAACGTCTGCTTCCTCTCCTGTCTCCTCGTCCGGCTCATCCCTCCCATCATCCCAATCGTCACGCTCCTGCGTCTCCTGCTCTGTACCCCTTACCCCTTACCCGTCGCCTCGTTATTATATTTCTCCACCTTCTCCTGCTCCATCCTCCAGCTGGTGCTCATCCTCCTTCTCCCCTCTCCTGCGACTGCTGCGAATCCCACCGGCTCCATATTCTTTACGCCAAGGATGCGAGGTGGGCCTAATAAGGGAGGCAGACCCAGGGCACGACCTGCGAAGCGAGGTGCGGGGGACATTAAGGCACAACGATGACTTTGTCAGTAAATTTTCCCGCGAGCTCTTCCCTCGAGAAGAAAGAGAGCGATGCAAACGCACCGCAACTGGTCAGGCCCATCCTCTTGGCATGGCCAAGAACGATGGACCTGGACAGGAGCTGGGCTCTGCGAGTGCGCCCGCAATGCGGCCAGCCGCCTGGATGTATGCTCCTCCTTCTCCTCCTTCTCCTGTTCCTTCTACTCCACCTCCGCCCTCTCCTCCTCCTCCTACTCCTCCTCCTCCACCTCCTCCTCCCTGCAACTCTGCAACCATTGCATCGTGATTCGGCTGGCTGCCAGGAGGCATCATTGATAAAATATGATTGCTGCATGATAGACAGATGGCCGCCATCAGGCGTGCCGGTAACGCTAAACGGATTCTGCATTGTCGCGAACTCGAAGGCTGAAACGGCTGGCGGGCGCTTGGAACTTGAAGCAGCACGGAGGAGGGGAAACGTTCGGGGGGCCCCACTCAGGGGGTGAAGCATCGGACTGGAATCGGCGACTCATAGCCGATCGATCGGCGATTGGCCCCCGATAGCGGCTCCGCAGGTGCCTGGGCGGTTAGGGGTATCGGGCCCGTAGCGATGATGACGGGGCGATTCGGGGTCGATCAGCACCCCTGAGCCTATCCCCCCTGACGTTGCCCCTGGAGTACGGCGCAAGAGGCGAGAAACGCACGGTTGCCACGAACGAGAGATGCACTTGTGAAAACCGCACCGCAGCAGCAGCGCTGTGCTCGGTGCTCCGAATGTCCACATGCACGTGCTGTATTGTGCACTGTGCCGTGCCGTCCCCCTCGCGGCTGAGCGCACCAGTAGCTCGCTCGCCTTCGCGCGCTCGCGCGGGCGGAATACGGATGGGGGAGAGCGGGGAGAAGAGAGGGAGATGACTTTGGCGGTGCGCGAGAAGGTGGCGCGAACGGGGGCTGCCCTTTGAGAGGGCAGGGTGCTGACGGACCAGAGGCCCGGCAGAGGGCTGCTGAGAAGGCAGGGTGGCTCTGGAGAGCCCCCCCCTGACTTCCTGGCAAGGCTCCCCCCCTCGAGTCGACCCCCCATGTTGCGCGCCGCCTGGGAGGGATGCGGGACAAAAAAACAGAATCGTCACAAAACAAGGATGACGCCCAGCTTCTTTCGATGATGCTCAGAAGATGTGCTATCGCCAACATGTGCTCGTCAACCGAAGCCCACCAGGGCGATCTAGGCAAACGCAACGGCGGCCGACACAGGCCGCGCGATTTCGGCGGAGCAGAACGGAGTTGGCATACTCTTGGCTCACACGCGCCCTGAGGATCATCGACTGTTGTGATGAACAAAAAAAACTCTCACCCTTTGGGAGGTGATCTAATTGACAAGGGCCAAGGACAGCAAGGATGGGGGGCCTTTTTCCGCAGATGCATCACACCAAACCGCCCAGAATCATCCTCCCGAATGCAGAGACGGGAACCTCAGCGAGGCCACATCTTCATCGCGATCTTAGCACTAGGAAGTCCTTGTTCTCAACGATGCTGGCTGGACGAAAGCCTTCCGACGGCCAGCCCTTCTCGGGCCGGTGGGCCCCCGGAGCCATCGACCACGCCCCTTCGGGGATGGACAGACCTCCCTTTAGTAAAAAGTGGTTTAGTGAGAACGACCTCGGGCCCAAACCTGGCGGGCGCAGGCCTGGAAAATAACGGCCGCGGCGCCCTCTCGAGCACCGAAAACGGACAGTTCACGAATCGACGTGTCACTGTTGGGGTTTCTGTCCACCCCCGACACGTCCCTGCTTGCGGCCGGCGTTCGCTTTGGAGGCGTCGGCGTTGGACTCCGGGGAGCCCGGGCACGGGCCCCCGGGGAACCCCACAAGCAGAGGGGAGGCCCGCAGGGCGCTGTTCTTCGGCGTGGGTGACGGGCTTGGCCAGTCTTCGGCCCCTGGGGGCCCTCGCAAGGCCTCGGGACCGTCAACAAAACTGCTCGGGTCGAAGAACCGGCCCCAGGGAATTGGCCAGGACTGCAGCTGTTCCCATCGCACTTCGGGACCACACCCCAGAAAGAATTTCGAGCACCAAGAAAAGTGCTGAAACAGTGCCTGTCAGACATGCTAGCTAAGGGCCCGACACGAGAAAACCCTCCAATGTTGGTACTTTCCCTGGTGCTCGAATTTTTTCTCTTGCGATCAAGGCTACAATGAGTCGGCCCGCGCATCGGATAAATTGGTTCGGGTCGTGTCGCTTCGCGCATCGCACGCCCCGCAGTGCGCGACGTGCGCGGACATTCGCGCCCTCGCGTTCTTCCGCGCCGCCCCGAATGGGCAAAGGCAACCGCTCTGGCGAAGACCGCGCCGCGCGGGGCAGCGCTATCTTCGCGCCAGCGTTAACAACCTGTGCGGGACTCCTTCGGAAGGCCCGAGGGTCTCCACCCCTTCAACCCGCCCCCCTTGCAGGTCATCCTGGGGTGCGCTCTGGCTGCAGATTCAAAGTGGGACCTGGCGCGCGACCCTTTCGAAGTGCGTGGGGTGCGATTCTTTCGGATTGCCTTCAGAGGCCCACCCGCCCGCGAACCCCGAGCCCATATCCTCGAACCTGAAACCTCGAGCTTCAATACTCGAGCCTCGTTCCTCGAACTCGCGCGCAGCCCGGGGATGGCCCCCGATCTCGTCCTCCACGATCTCGACCTCCTCGCTCTCGGAGGCAACCGTGGAGGCCTCGCTCTCGAAGGACTCGAACTCCTGGCCCGAACGCGCGCCTCGTCCTCGTCGCCGTTCCTCTACTAATTTCCTGCTCCTCTTTTCTCCTCTTCCACAGTTTGCTTCCTCACTCTCCCCCTCCTCTGCATATTGCTTCTCTTTCCCCATGCGTCATCCTACCTCGTCATCCTGCTCCTCCTCATGGCCTATTGCCTCCTAGTTATTGGCCAGATTTCCGTAATTTCAGACGTTCGAGTAATCACTGTCCGTACTCTGGCCTCTAAGCTCAGGGATTCCCGTCTCTAGGATATTGTTGACGGGTGGTCCCTTCATAAACTCAAACGGCATGGCCATATAGTTCCGTGAAGTAGATGTGAGCATGGATACTGATACGCGCGCGATACTAGGGAGGCGCGCGCACCCTTTTACCGCCAAGACGCTTCGCACCTCAATCCAGCAATTACTGTCTCCGCGTTTACTCGGGCCAAACGCGCGGGAAAGCGCGCGCAGTTCTTTATGACGCAGAGGTGGGGGGAGCGACAGCAACAACCCTGGCCGAGCCCTGAGCCGCCACCCAGCTTTTTTTGCGCGCCAGCAGCCTGCGAGTCTCGTCAAGGCGCGCCATGCCCACACATATTGCACGGCGCCCCCCGTCCGAGCCGCACCGAATCCTGCTGCAAGCGCTAGGACTCGGCTGTTCCAGGCAGCGGCCTGCATTAGACCTCGCCCATATGCCGGAGGGTTCAAAAAGGGGGGTTGGGGGCGGGGTTGTCCAGGAGGGGCCCTCCCCTACCGTTTGCCCCTGAACGATCCTCAGAACGTGTGCTCCCCGACATCCTGCGTCTAGCAGGTACCGAGAACGGCTTTTCATAGCTTCCGGCCTCTCGGGGCCCTCTCAGGGACTCGGGGCAGTCAACAAAACGGTTTCGAAAGAAGTGGTCGAGAATTAGGTTCGGCCGTGGACAAACCTCCCTTAAGCAAACCTCCCCTTAGTGAAAACGGCCCGGGACCGAAACCGACGGACCTGGACCCGGAAAACGTGACGGCCGCGACGCCCTCTCGCGAACCGAAAACGGCCAGTTCCTCAATCGACGTGTCAGGGTAGGAGGTCTGTCCACCCCCGATGGGTGGCCCGCGCCTCGAGCATCGGAAATCGAGTCGTGGTCCCCAGGAGCCGACACGGGGCGCGGACCCCCCACGTGAAGACGTGCAGCGCCGGCATCGCAGGGACGGCCACCGCGCCCCCTCGAGAGCCCTCGCCCCTCGACGCGCCGCCGTTGTCTCGACGGCCCCTCCCCCCCGCACATCCGGCGTCCAGATTCTGTGTCGAGGCACCGCCTCCTCCTCCTTTTTTCTTCTTCTCCTCCGTATTACCCTTCTCCTTCTTCTCGTTCTAAGCATTATCGTTCATATTCTTATTATTAGTAGTATGCGCATTCGTATTAATAGTATTTTTCTTATCCTGCTGGTTATTCTTCTTGTTATACAGGTACACTTATAAGTTGTAGTATTATAAGTCGTCTTCGTCTTCGTCTTCTCCTCCTCTTCCTCCTCCTCCTCCTCCTCCTCCTCCTCCTCCTCCTCCCTTCTCCCCGTCCCTCCTCCTCCTCCTTCTCCGCCTCCTCCTCCTCCTCCCTCCTCCTCCTCTCTCCTCCTCCTCCTCTCTGCTCCTTCTCCTCCTCCTCCTCCTCCTCCTCCGCTCCTCCTCCTCCTCCTCCTCCCTCCGCTCCTCCTCCTCCTCCTCCTCCTCCTCCTCCTCCTCCTCCTCCTCCTCCTCGCCCTCCTCCTCCTCTTCCTTCCTCTCCTCCTCCTCCTCCTCCTCCTCCTCCTCCTCCTCCCTGCTCCTCCTCCCCTCCTCCCTCCTCCTTCCTCCTCCTCTCCTCTCCTCCTCCCCTCCTCTCCTCTCCTCCTCCTCCTCCTCCTCCTCCTCCTCCCTCCTCTCCTCCTCCTCCTCCTCCTCCCTCCTCCTCTCCTCCTCCCTTCCTCTCCCCTTCCTCTCCCTCCTCTCCTCCTCCTCCCTCCTCCTCCCCTCCTATCCTCCTCCTCCCTCCTCCTCCTCCTCCTCCCCCCCCTCCTCCCCTCCTCCTCCCTACTACCCCCCCCCCCCCTCATGATTGGGCACAGACCCCTGACCCTCTGGAAGGCGACCTAGATTAGGAAGGCCAGAAACATGAGGATAAGGTTTCTTCTCTGCAGATGTATCCAACCAGACCGCCCAAACATATGATCCTGAATGCAAGGACTGGGATCTCAGTGAGGTCACGTGTTCACGATGTTATTAGGGTAAGGGTCTCTGTTACCCTCGATGAACATAGGCTCCCGACCTCTCGGCCACTTTTATGGGACCATTTATTGTTCATCCTGAGTAGTTGTTGTTTGCCGGTCCCGAGGCCCAAGAAGGCCCCCCCCAAACCGAACAATATGACACACCCCCGTCTCGATTTGTTCAAGACGCCGGATGTCTCGGGGATGAAACCAGATCCAGTCAAGATCGGTCCCAGCGCACCACTTCTTCATGCTGCGTCCAGCCGTGGCGACGAGAAGCGCCCAGGAGGTCCAGAAAGGACGCCACGATCCCTTCCCCCCCGAGGGGGGGCGGGCCGGCCTGCGTATTTCGGGGACCCGACCATGTGATTCGGTGCCCCGTGGCGTGATTGTGTCGTGGCACCTCCCTCTTGACTGTGCCATTAAAAGATGCGCGCCCACCTACCCTTCTCCTCGCTCACCCTCTTTCCGCCTGGACACGCCCAAGGCCGCCGCCGCGGTGGCGCGCCGCGTGGCCTCGAGGCGTGCGGTGGGTATCCCCCCATTGCTGCTGGCCGGAACCCGTGCTGGGCCACCTCAGACCCACGGCGGCCCTCCTCCGCCCCGCGCCGCCGCCGCCGCCGCGGCCGCCGGGGGGCGCGGCGCGGGCCTCGCAGGGCGTCCACGCGCACTCGGAGGCCGGCGTGAGCGGCTCCGCCTCCATGCGTGGGGGCGGCGCCGCCATCCCCGACCAGCAACAACTGGGGGAGCTGTGGTCCTTACCCCCCTGGGGGAGCCCATCGCCTCGACGATCTCTCGAGAGCGGTGTCGAAACCGAGGGGTCCCCCAGGGGGGTAAGGACCACAGCTCCCCCAGTTGTGGCTGGCCTGCATCCGCGCCCCGCCCCATCGCCGCCTCCAGCCCCATCGGCCGAATGCGAGCTCAGGGCCAGCAGAACTCCCTTCGGGCGAAGACAATGACAGATTGCTCGGCGGCCCCCAAGATCGCCAGCGACGTCGGACGAGCTGGTGGGGCTGGTGCCGTGGCCGCAGCTGGACGGCGGCGGTGCTGGGGGCCGAAGGCAGGGCTGGTGCCGAGGCCGGGGCTGCGGCCTGAGCTGGAGCTGGGACCAAAAGAGCAGCGGGGCTGGGGCCAGGGGGGGCCCAGGGCCAGGGCCAGAGCCGAGGCTGGGGGCAGGGCCAGGCCTGGGGCTGGAGCTGCAGCCGGGACCGAACCCCGCGCCGACCAGGACTAAGGGCCAGGGTGGCGAAACTGAAACGCGGCCGCAAATACAACTGCGGCCGCGGCCACCACGGCAACCACGGCCACCACCGCTACCACGGCAACCACGGCTGCCACGGCCGCCGCGGCCACACCATGGCCGCCGCGGCCACCATGGCCACCACGGCCGCCGCGGCCAACGTGGTCGTCACGGCCACAACGGCTGCCACCGTGTCTTCCGTTGGCTTCGGTCCCGTGTCCTCCGTGGTATCGGTCTCGTGTCCTCCGTGGCTTCAGTTTCGTGACCCATGCTTACCGATTCCACTGGCACTTGACTCGGCATCAACGCCCGAATTTATCGTTTCCCATGGCGCTTGAAACAATATCGAAGCTCCTGCTTCCCAAGGCGCTTGAAACAATAACCATGGGGCTTGACATGGTATACACGCCCGGATCTACCGCTTCCCAAGGCGCTTGAAGCAGTATACACGTCTAGACTTATCGCTTCCCAGGGCGCTTGAATCGATACACCCGAGGGTGCGAGAGCCCCTGGAGGAGGAGGAGGAGGAGGAGGAGGAGGAGGAGGAGGAGGAGGGAGGAGGAGGAGGTTCAAGGAACCTCTCGGAGCTTCCTTGCAAGGGCGTCGAGGGCCCCGCGAGGCCCGCTGCCAGAGATATATAGAGAACCTTGCGACGCTATGCCGCCCCCCCCCGCGACAACGACGACGACTACGACGACGAACGACGACTCCTGATGTTACTCCTCCTCCTCCTCCTCCTCCTCCTCCACCTCCTCCATCTCCTCCTTCCCCTCCTCCTCCTCCTCCACCTCTCCCCCCTCTGGTTGCGTGATAATCGACCCCATGTTGGACATGATTTTGACAACTCTCTGTCGCTATATGGTTATATTTGCGCAACGGCTGCGTGCCACTCGTCGACGAAAAAAAACACGCTTTCTGGCCGCCGCGATCGCCGCGGCGACCTTCAAAACCCACCCAGAGGTTTGGTTCGGGGTTAGACGTTACGCACCGATCCTCCTCCATATCATCCTGCCTCCCCTTTTTGCATGCAAGGCAGGAGCCCCTCGAGCAGGGCACGCTGCCATGATGGGTATGCAGCCGCCGCTGCCAGCATTCCGCTATCCCCCAACCCCCTCGCGTCGAGGAACCAGCGCGACGGGAGATGGTCTGCTATGTTTCTGCCTCCTGGGGGGCCCTCGCTGGGCCCGCGACCGTCAAACAACGACTGAGGGTCCTCGAGGATGGGCCGAGACGTATGTCGGGCGTGTCCCCCTACAGGGGGCCTTTTCGACGAAAAATGAAACAATACTCCAAAAATACGTCAAAAGCTCAAGAACAACTAAAAAATAGTCCCCAGACTATGTTTGGACTATTTTATGTTTGTGTTTCTATGTTGGGGGATACTTGCTATGTTTCGTTGACAATCCCCCTGTAGGGGGACAGGCCCGACTTGAGCCGAGACCAGGGGTCCACGTAGAAACTCTCACCCCCAGGAGGAGGAGGAGGAGGAGGAGGAGGAGGAGGCGGAGGAGGAGGAGGGGGAGGAGGAGGAGGAGGAGGAGGAGGAGGAGGAGGAGGAGGAGAATGGGGTCCACGTGGAAACTCTCACCCCCGGATCTCGGAGGACGTGACCGCCTCCACCCAGGGCGGCGTGCCCTCGAGCCTGGGCCTCGGCCCGTGGGCCCGTGGCCGGGGGGCCTGCCGCGACGGGATATCCGGGGCGAGGCGCCTGCCCAGGGGGAGAGCAGGGGGCCGGGCCCCGAGGTCCGACGCCGCGCCGCAAGAGCTGAGCATGTTTCGGGTCGGGCGAAAGGGGGAGATAGCAAAGGGGGGGGTTGAGAATCAGCTCGCGTAGCTGATTTTCCTGGCGCCTCCCGGCGCCGGAGGCGGCTATGTATCGAGGAATGGCCCCCTCGGCGAGGCCGAAGCCAGCTGCATGCAGCAAGTTTCGTAACCCCCCCTTTCCCAATCCCCTCCTTTCGTCCGGCCCGAATGTTCTTGGGGTGGAGGGCTCGGGGTGAGATCCACATGGGCGTGTGCACCGCGACAATCAATCCGTCTTGTGATGCACCTTTTGCAGATTCAAGCCTCGAAAACCCATCGAAACGGCATTTCAGACTTCACCCTGTGCCCTCCATCCATAGAACATGCTCGGAACAAAATACAACATCCAGACAACGACCTGACCGCGGGGCCCCCTCTTCCTGCGTCCTCCTTCGAGCTGGATCGATAGTCGGGAGCGGCCAAGAGGGGGATGTCCAAGAGGGGGGGTGCAAATCATGACCGACGGCATGTGCGCGGCCCAGCGGGGGGGCCTGGGACGTAATGAAACAAGAAGAGGCGCCATGAAATCTGAGGAAAAATTATGGCCCGCGCCATGAAATCCACCCCCCCCTAGTCATCACCCCCCTCTTTTCCGCTCCCGAGATAGGTGAGGGTCCCAGGGCCCAAGGTTGAGCGAAGATGGAGTCGCCGGGATCGCAGGGGGACCTCCAGGGCCGCGCATGGAAAGCAAATCACATCGCCAGGTGTCTGGCATCCGCGCTCCGCCCCGCCGCCGCCTCCAGCCTCCCGGGAGGTCGCGGCAGGAGCGCTCACGGGCAACGAAAGCCCGGTTGAGCGGCCACTGAAGTGACTCAGTCCAGGTTCCGCCCATGACTGAGCCGGATTCGGCTGGGGTAAGCGGGAACACATGGGATTATGCCAACGAGGCTGGTTTTCGACCACGGACATGCCAGCGCCGATGCTGAATTGAACCTCGCAGGTAGTGCATCCTAGCCTCCGCGGACTCTCTTTCGACGACGACGACGACGAATGACGAGGATCGAGGCGTCTTCCTCCTGATTTTCCTTCTGCTCCTCCTCCTCCTCCTCCTCCTCCTCCTCAACATCCACATCCTTCTTCTACTGCTCCTCCACATCCACATCCTCCTGCTTCTGCTCGTGCTCGTGCTCGTGCTCCTGCTCCTGCTCCTGCTCCTCCTTCTCCTCCTCCTCTCCGTGATTCCACCATCCCGCCTACCCCCGTCCGCCTCCACGGGGGTCTCCAAAAAACCTTTTGGTATCTCCACGGGGGGCCTCCGTACCCCCGCACGCTCGGATTTGTTCTGGGCCTCCACGGGTCTCCAAAAACCTTTTGATAAGGCACCGATCAAGGGTGGACCAGCCCAGTGCGGGAACCTCGAGCCTGCCGACTGATCGGCGACAGGTCCCCGAGAGCTCCTGGGCGGGACATGCTATCGGGCCCCTTGTCTCGGCGATCGCAGGGCGGTTGAGGACTGATGCGCCTCCCCCTGAGCCTATCCCCACCCCTGATTTTCCTCCTCCTCCTCCTCCTCCTCCTCCTCCTCCCCCTGAGCCTATACCCCCCGCCGATACGTTGCCCCTGAAATTTTCGGGTCATCACTCGGGTCTCTGGCGGCTGGGCGAGGGATCCGGGCCCCCGTGGAACGCTGTTCCTGGTGGGGTCGCAGCCCCCGGCAGGCATCCCGAGGCCGGAACACTGCCGAGGACCGGCCAAAACGCCCAGAAACCTCTGACCTCGAAACGTCGTCCCCCCTACACGTTGCCCCCATAATTGCGAAGAGCTCCCAGGACCCCCCCCCCCCTGGCGTCTCGAAGAGCGCACCGAGCCAGACGCTTGCGGCACGCCCGCGGCGTCGGGCATCCGAGGGGCCGTGGGCGCGCGGCTCGGAGTGAAGATGCGGCCCCGAGGATCGGCTCTCCTGAGCCTGCCGCCCCCCCCCCCCCCGTTGCCCCCGGAGGTCGCTGGGGGAAGCACGGTCACGCCCTTGGCGGCGCCCGCGGACGTGGGGAAAATAACAGATATCGATGTGGCTACTACCCGGACCTCTCCCGGGGTGCGTTATGACCAGGACCTCGAGGAGCATCCGGCGGTGGCGAAGAGGGCCTGCCAGGAGGCCCCGGGAGGGGAAAAAAGTGTGAGAAGGGTGGCGGTATGGGCTACCCCTATGTCGGGCGTGTCCCCCTACAGAGGGATTTACATGAACAATAAAAAATACCCAACAAGTACCCCAACAATGTCAAAAAATGCACAAAAAATAATCCCCGGACTATTTCTGGACAATGTTTGGATCATTTTTGGTGTATGTTTCATTTTTCGTTGAAATCTCTCTGTAGGGGGACAGGCCCGACTTAAGGCTTCATCCGTCAACGCCTCCCCCTCCCCCCAAATGTTCAAAGTTGGCGGTGGGTCTGATGAGATGCACTTCGACCGCAGCCTCCCCCGCGCGTGCCAACGTTGAGTTTGGGGGGGAGGGGGAGTGTTCAGTAATTGTTTCCCTCTACCGTATGGGCTGCTCCTTCCTCCTCCAAGGACGGGCCACCGTCCCCCCCCCCCCGGGGCCACGCCTCGTACGAGTTCAGGCCGCGGCCGAGCGGGGGGAGGCGGCGCGACCTCGCTTCCAGGGCTGCCGCGTCCCCCTCCTCCTCCTCCTCCTCCTCCTCCTCCTCCACCTCCTCCTCCTCCTCCCCCGAAGCCATTTTGGCTCAAGCCAACTTGCTTCAAGCGCGCTTGGGCTGGAATTGGACCGGGGGGCCGCCGTGCCGGCGGCCGGTGCTCACGTGCAGTGGAGGTCGTGCGCCTCCCGAAGGGAGGCCCAGAGGCGGGCCCAGGGCTGGCGCGAGGCTCACGTGTACCATCTTCGGCGCCAGGTTCGGTTCTGGGAGTCTCGCTGCGAGTCCATCGCCCAGATCTTCGGGGACCCCGAGCTTGTCGACTGGCTCCTGGCCGTGGTTCCTGTGCTGGCGCGCCAGCTGGGCAAGCGCCAGGAGGACGTTCCTCCTGTGGACGTGCTGAGGCGGAATGTGGCGATGCATGCTGAGAAGGTGCCGCATCCGCTCGGCACGGCCGCTGCTGCTGCTGACCTCCGCAGTGCCGCGCAAGGTCCCCGCCTGGGCCGCGCGGATGCTGCTGTGGGCGTGCCCCCCGCCCAAGGCCGCCGTTCAGACGGCGGTGCAGAGGCTGCGCAGGCAGATGGGGGAGCATGCGTCGTGGACCCGCACGACCAGGAGCCCCCACTGAGGGAGGAGGAGAGGAGGCGGACCTCGGCGCCGCCAGCCTCTCCGCGGACGCCGCGGTGTTTGTGCCTCGCGTCGTCGGCGGCGGGGACGGCCACGACAAGGAACTCATGCACCAGTTCGACGGTGGCTGGGCCACGGCCTCGGTGCGCTGGCCTGGGCTGTGGCAGGTCTGCGTCCCCCTTGTGGTGCTGCCCGACGTCTCCTCGGACCTCGTGGTGCACGCGTCGCCCTCGATGCTGGAGGAGGCGGGTCGCGGGGGCTCCGGCCGGCCAGAGGAGGGGGACGAGAAGGACTCCGTCGTTCACGACGTTGTGGACGAGGTGGCGCATCTGGCCGACGCGCTGCTTCCCGTGCAGTCGCAGGGCTTCGTGTTCGCCGCCTCGCCGCGCTTGGCATCGGATTGTGTGGGCTCCTCGAAGCGGCAGGGGCTGTATCGTCCTCAGCAGCGTGCGCCTTCGCCTCCACGTGGTACGTCGTTCAGCTTCTCGCAGGAGCAGCTGGACTCCTCTTCGATGAAACCGCCAGACCCACAGGCTGAGTGCAAGCAGCTGTGATGCTGTCGTAAGTGACCCGGCTCGAAGTCTGCCCGTCGGAGTGTGGCTGCCGGTATGGAGTGTCCTTCGTGCTGTACGTGACGTACTACTTCTTCCTCGCGGTCTTCATGATGCTTGAGGGCGTGCAGTATGGTGGGCAGAGGGTGACGTAGCGGCAAAGTCCTCCTCCTCCTCATCCTCCTCCATTATTTGTGCTTATAAGTGACTGCTCCCTGTCACACCCCGAGGCCAGTCGAAAGGGCGGGCGGGGGTTTCGCCTAAGACTTCCTCACCATTTATGACCCTGGAGGTTAAGATATTGACGACCGTTTCACAAGCTGAGGGCGGGTGGTTTTCAACATGTGGTTCTCGCTTTAGCGCCGCGCACGTTCGTTGGGATGCGGGGGGGGAGTGAGAGGGGGCATGCCTTCTTAGCAGGTGGCGGGCCTTCTCAGACACCCTCCCACCATCCGAGACGTCTGTTAAGCCTTCTCCGAAACCATATTAGACGGCATCTCAGAGGGCGGGAGGGCTTCCGAGAAGCCCCGCCGCCCTCTGAGAAGGCCTGCTCCCTCTCACTTCCCAGCTGGGCTCGCCGCCGAACTGACTCACCACGAGGTGTGGTCGCCACATCATTTGGGGGCCGCCAAGAGGCTAGTTGTTCGCTCGACTCTGGTAAGCTTACTTGCTTGGAGGGGGTATGGGGGGTGGCGTGGCGAGGCACGAAAGGAACTCTAGGTTCTAGCATTCACCACAAGTCGAGACTCCCGTGCACGCGCCTGCTTCTGCAGAAAATCATGAAGGAGCCCGGGGCCCCGCAGATAAACAGACACAAGTCCCAGGATTCCCTTATATTTTCTTACATGTCCTGGGTGTTCGTACCTCCTCCCCAGAACCCATGTTATCAATCCGCCGATCCGGCGGCGTGTGAGTTTGAAAGAGCCTTAGATGTAGCCTCAACTTCAGTTCCTGAGCGTCTGCTCGAGGTGGCTCTGCCGGGGTAGGGGAGTGTGTGTGTGGGGGGGGGGGGGGACGCGTTGTGCTGCGTTTTCCGGGGGGGGGAGGGGGGCGGGCCGTGGGAAACACAGCAGAGTGCCACCCTGGATGCCAGAGAGCCCAAGATTGCTGCATGATATTTCGCAGACGGCCCAAGATGTAGCCAAGACAGCCCCAGATGGCGTCATGACGGCCCAAGAGGCCTTTGAAGAGGCCTCAAAGACGGCCCAAGACGTCTCCAAGAGTTTCTAAGAGGCCCGAAGAACGCCCAAAAGGCCCCCCAAGAGGCCCCAAGAGCATGCCAACAGCACCCCCAAGAGGGGCTCATGATGCCAAAATCGTCTGCTTCCCGATAGTTTTTGAGGGATTTTGACATGCTCGCCTTTTTGAGTTTTTGACGCGCTAAGACGGCTCAAGAGGCCCCCAAGATCGCACCAAGACGGCCAAAGAGGCTCCCAAGAGCGCCCCAAAACTGCCCAAGGAGCCCCAAGGCTACTCAAGAGGGCCCCAAGACGGCCCAAGAGGGCTCCAGGACTACCTCGGAGGCATCGTGAGGCAATCCCTCCCTCCACCTCCCTCCGCCTCATCCTCCACCTAACTCCTCCGCCACCCCTTCCACCAACCAGATCGCATCCGGAGCGCCCCCGGATCGGCGGCACTGGCCTGAGGCCACTACAATATGTTCCTGGGGATCGGCGATTAATAGTTTGGCGGCGAGCAGAAGGGGGTAGGGGGAGGGGGAAAAGCTTCTTAGAAGGAGGCTGCTTCTTAGAAGGCGCTGGCCTCACATCTGCAGAGAAGGCCCGCACCTTCTAAGAAGCAGGGGTGCTTCTAAGAAGCCTTCCCCCCTCCCCCTACCCCCCTCTGCGCGCCGCCAAATAGTGCCTGTGTTTTCCCCCCTCCTGAAACCACCCTGCAAGCTGCAAGAGAAGGCCGCCCTCCGCCGAGACCTGCCCGCCGCCGCTGGGCCGGCGGCCCCCCCGCGGCGCCGCCCCCGTGGACGACGCCGACGCCGACGCCGACGCCGACGCCGACGCCGACGCCGACGCCGACGCCGACGCCGACGCCGACGACGACGACGACGACGACGACGCCGACGCCGACGCCGACGCCGACGACCACGACGACGACGACGGCGGCCACGACGACGACGACGTCGACGACGAAGGCGGGACGGCTCCCCTGAGGTGCCCGGAAACCTCCGAAGGCCTCCAGCTCGCCATCGCTCGGACGTCCATTTCCTGTTTTTGTTTCGGTGTCGTGCGTGTTTTTTGTTCGCCAAATGCTCAAGGATGCTCCTCGATGGCCCTCGCCGAAAGAAAAATGCACACGTCCGAGCGATGCCAAGAAGACGGGACGGCTCCCCTGAGGTGCCCGGAAGCCTCCGAAGGCCTCCAGAAGCCCTCGGCAGCCCTCCGAAGGCGGGGGGCCTGCGGCTCCCCGCGCCGCTCCCCGGTGGCGGCGGCGGCGGCGCCGCCGCCGGCGCAGCGTCGGGGGCGGCGTCCTCGCGCGGCGGGGCGCCCGGTGCGCCCGACGGCCACGACGGAGTGGAAAACGGCGACGGCGGCGCGGACGACGCGGACGTTGCTGACGACGCTGACGACGCTGACGGCGACGGCGAGGAGGGGCGGCGCCCTCGCGCGGCGGGGCGCCAAGGGCGCCCGACGACCACGACGAAGTGGGAAACGGCGACGGCGACGCGGACGACGCGGACGCGGACGACGGGGGCGGCGGCGGCGGCGCCGCCGGCGCAGCGTCGGGAGCGGCGTCCTCGCGCGGCGGGGCGCCCGTGCGCCCGACGACCACGAGGGAGTTACGGGGCGTGAAAACGACCACAGCCACTGCTTTTCTTTTGTTGCCGCCCTCCGGCCAGCAGAAACAAAAAGCAGTGGTTGCGGTCCTTTTCGTTGAGCTTGGCACCGGGGAGATGACCACAACCACGACTTCTTTTTCGGCCGGCTGGAAGGCGGCGCAAACAAGAAGCAGTGGCTGTGGTCATTTTCCCGTCCCGCAGAAGTGGAACACGGCGACGGCGACGGCGACGCGGGCGACGCGGACGTTGCTGACGGCGCCGACGGCGACGGCGAGGAGGGGCCCACGTGGGCGACGGCGACGAAGACGGCGGAAGCGACGACGGCGACGTCTCGCTGGGGCTGGGGATGAGGAGAAGGACCGCTCGGACGAGGACGGGGGCAACGACGAACGACACCAGCGCCACACGGCTTCGGCGCCTCCAAGAAGATCAGCAGAATACATCTCCTCCCTTGGGAGAGGCCTGCAGGTTACCTATATTACTCTTCGTACACGTCTCGCCTGGCTGATTCGAACTTCGGATTACCGACGCTGTGCTGATTGGCTCGGCCGCGAAGTCTAGCAGAGCGGGAAAGGCAAGATCAAGCAACATCGAATCGAGAAATCGGACCGATCGGCATGTGCGTCGCATCGGGCTGCATCGGCACAGAGTCGGAATCGAAAATCGCATCGGGCGCGCAAGTGAAACAGCAACGCCGTACACGCATCCGGCCGCACCGGATCGTCGGCATGGCCGACATCGATATCGAGCCGCATCGATCGGATTGAAATGGCCCCTGGGGACAGGGCGCACACTTCGCCGTTGTCGCTGATGCTTGCCACGACGACGGCGGCGGCAGCGGCGACGACGACGACGACGGCGACAACGACGACGACGACGATGACAACGCGCACGACGACGGCGACGGCAGCGGCGGGTGACGACGGTGGCCCTGCCGCCTGGCACTGGGGAGCGGGGCCCCTCTCTCGAACGCGGAGGCCGCGCGCGTTGGGCCCGAGCCGATGGGGTCGGAGGATCGCGCCGCAGCGCCGATGCATCGACTCCTCCTCCTCCTCCTCCTCTTCTCCTCCTCCTCCTCCTCTTCCTCCTCCTCCTCCTCCTCCTCCTCCTCCTCCTCCTCCTCCCCTCCTTCATCCCTCTTCCCCCTCCTCCTCCTCCTGCTCCTCCTCCTCGTCCCCCTCCTCCTCCTCCTCTCCTCTCCTCCTCCTCCTCCTCCTCCCCCCCTCCTTCTCGTCCTCCTCCTCCTCCCCCCTCCTCCTCCTCCTCCTCCTCCTCCTCCTCCTCCTCGAAGACAGAGCTAAGACGAGGACAACATCGGGTGAGGATGGATCGATAATCTCGGAGATCCGGCGGCGCTGGATGATGCCTCGTGCGCCGCGGCCTTCTCAGACCGTTCCGGAACGCTCTGGAACGGATCTATCCTCGCCCTGGCCCCCCCCAGTCGACGGTGCCTCTGCGGTGTCGGGAAACAGGTTCATGGTCATGCGCCTGTATCCCCGAGCAAAGATACGCGACCAACCTGTGCGCCCTAGGAGACCGACCGATCGATCGACCGAGCTGAGACAACGGCAGTGGACGAGCGATCGGAGCAGGGCGGCTTGAGGCAACGGCAAATCGCAATCGGTCCCCAAACCCCTCCTGGGGCCCAAGAACACAAATTTTCCGAGCTGCGTCCAGCCGTGGTGCCGAGGGGGCCTCCCGAGGGCCACCACCCGCTGTCTCAACTCGCCTTCCTCTGTGCTGGAACATGAAACAAACGACACAACCCCACCTACGGCTCCAGGGGGCTTAGCGTACCTGTACGATCACACTTCAGGTGATAAGGAGGTTCGGGTGGGGGGAATGGGAAACCCACTAACAACAACTGTGGCGATGCGATGGCGCCGTCGGTCTCACGAATTTCACAATTTATCTCACCATCGATCTCACTATCGCACTCGATACTGGTCGCACTTTCGATCTCCCTATCGATCTCACTCTTGATCGCAGTATCGATGTCATACGAGATCCCACTATCGACCTCACAAGAGATCTCACAAGACACCATCGGGACACCACGATGGGGCACCCCGAGCCACCGCAGGGCACCCCCAGCCGAAGATCTGTTGTGATCGATATCGCCATCGATCTCTCGATCTCACGAGCAAGATCGATCACGCAATCGATCTCACTGTCGATCTCACAGCTGATCTCACGAGCTACCATCGAGACAGAACGGCTGGACACCCAGAGCCACCGTCAGGACACCCCGCGCCACCGACGGGGCACCCCCAGCCAACGACGGGCACCCCATTGCCACCAACGGGGCAACCTGGGATCGATCTCACGATCACGATCGATCACACAATCGATCTCATTATCGATCTCACCATTGATCTCTCGGCGGTGGACAAACCTGCCTATAGTAGACCTCCCCTTAGTGAAAACGGCCTGGGACCGAAACCGACGGACCTGGACCCGCAAAAATGACGGCCGCGACGCCCTCTCGCGAACCGAAAACGGCCAATTCCTTTATCGACGTGTCAGGGTAGATCTGTCCACCCCCGCATCTCACGAGCTACCACTACCATCGACCATCGACACACCACGGCGGGACTCCGGGAGCCACCGTCGGGCCCCCCCCCGCGCCACCGACGAGACACCGACGGGACACCCCCGGCCACCGCGCGCGGGGCGGGGGGAGGCGCGGACCACCGGCTCCACGGCACCTGGCCACGGCGGCGTCATTCCCTTCGCGCGCCCGCGCAGCGTCGCTCTGCCCGCACGCGCGACGCGAACACGAAACCGAAACCGATTTCCTGGTGGGGGGCTCTCCGTCCCACTGCGATCTCACCCCCCAACCTCCGATGCGTAGACATTTGGCGTGGGGGGCTTTTGCGCGGCCTGCTCTGCGGCCCCCGCTGGGCCGCACCGCAGCATGGAGGGCCGTCGGTGGGGTGGTGCCGTTTGCTTTTAGTCAGTGAGCTCCTTTCCCAGACCCCCGACGTCATGATTTGTTGTATAACGTCGACCCCCAAAAGTCTCGACCCATTCCCCAGGACGCGTTTCGTCCCGAGTCGTTTCTTGACGGCTCCGAAGCCCCGTGAAGGGCCCCGAGAGGCCGAAAATGACGAAAAAACTCCCGTCATGACTTTTTCGTTGCTCGAGGGGGCCTGGGCTACGGCAGGGGCCCGACCACAAGAAAGCTTCCGAAAGAAACCCGACCCTGAACCCCCAGGACGTCCATGGATTCCTGGTGCGGGAACGTCACGTCCTCCACGGCAGAACCATCGAACCCGAAGGCTGGGTAGTCGAAGCCAATCTGGCGCCAATCTGGCAGGCCCAATCTGGCAAACGGGGGCAATCTGGCGAGGGAGCCAACGCGAATCCAGTCTGGCGAAGAACCCAAATCCTCCAATATGGCCAGGCCCGTTTGGCCCTTGGGGCCCAATCCAGTCTGACAGTCTGGCCTTCGACTACCAAGGAAGGAACCCAGGACTACCCAGGAGGAGGAGGAGGAGGAGGAGGAGGAGGAGGAGGAGGAGGAGGAGGTGGTGCTGCCTGGCATGGGCCTCCACTGATCGCCGGGCCGGCGACGGGCGCGCGACCGCACGACCGACCGACCGACCGACCGATCCGTCCACGGCGGGCGGCGGGCGGCCCCGTCCTCCCGCGGCGCGCACGACTGGCCGCCGCGCAGCAGCGGCAGCGGAGCTCGGCCTGCCGTCCCCCCCCCGAAGCGCCGAGCCTCGCCCGGCGGATCCTCCTCCACCCCGTCTCCGCCATGGTGCTTTCTCCCCCCCCTCCTCCTGTTCTTCCTTCTTTGTTTCTTCTTTCTCCTCCTCCTCCTCCTCCTCCTCCTCCTCCTCCTCCTATTCCTCCTCCTCTCTCCTCCTACTCCTCCTCCTCTCTCCAATGCTCTGACGGTGGCCCCGACGACACCACCGCAGGCCACAACGCCTCCACACGTGCAACGGGGGACAGGACCAGGGCCCACAACCCCGATCCCAAAAAAAACACGAATCCGAATCCTCCCATCAAGTGTCCCGCCTCTCGGCCCCGACCTCATTCAGCCCCTGGACCCAACCGACACGGCGAGGTTGCAGCGGGGGCACCACAGGGCTGCACCGAGGGATTGGAGTGGGGTCATTGCCCCGATCCAAGTCCTTCAAAGCACTGGCTCCATGCGCTGAACCAGGCAAGCCCTTCGGAGCCAACCGACCGCAGGGCCTGTGAAACCAGTGCACCTGTGCGAACTTAGCAAGGGCCCCAAGACACCTCGACTGGGCAAGTCGGGCTCGATACATACAATTACGGCCACGCGCATGGCAGCTCAAGCGGCTGCCTGGCCACTTGACCTGATGCCCTTTGGGATCCGACACGAGCTCGAGCGGGCCGAACACACGACGAAACCGATGATTGAGGGCCTTCTGAAAGCATCGGGGAAGGAGGCAGCCGCGAGATGCCAAATACTCCGACCCGTGGACAAGGACAGAAAATAACTGGCCCCCCTGACCAGCTTGCGCTGCTGCTACGCATCCTCAGAGACACGGTGAATAATCGCGCCGCTCTTCGCAAAGTAATCGGTGAGCCGGTTCGCGCGAAACTGCAGCCTCGTAGCGCCGTGAGCCTGAGCCTCCTTCCAGGAGGCGTCTGACCGATGCCAACGTCGTTTAACGTGAACCAGATCCTGCACCAAATCTCCAAAGAGATTCTAGATGGGCGGCAACGCGCTGCGGCCCCTGCCGCGATTCCACGCGCGGGCATCTTGCAGTTGGCGATAACCGTTCGCCCACCTACCGAATTGCAAAGACACGCGCGGAAGGCTTTCAACTCGGCCGCCCCGATCTCCAGTAGGACCGCCAGAAAGAGGCCCAAATATGGCCCCCTCAGAGTCACCGTGGGGGCCCCATCCTAACACGGAGCCGCCCCGAGCGAGGGGCGCGTGAGAAGTTCGGCTTCGCGCGGGACCCGTCCATCCCGACCAGGCCCGAACCAGCTCCCCCGACCGCCGGCACCTCAGCGCAGAACTCCGCCGCGCCAGGCCGGGGGCTGCTCCGAACGAAAGAGAATCGACCAGGCAGCGGCGGGGGGGGAGGAGGAGGAGGAGGAGGAGGAGGAGGAGGAGGAGGAGGAGGAGGAGGAGGAGGAGGAGGAGGAGGAGGAGGAGGAGGAGGAGGAGGAGGAGGAGGAGGAGGAGGAGGAGGAGGAGGAGGACGAGGAGGAGGAGGAGAGGGGGGAGGGGGGGCCGACGCCTCGACGCGCCCGCTCACTGGAAGCACGCGAAGACAACCCGTGCCCAGGCGTGCCCGGCTCTGCTCCGCAGGCCCGGCACAGCGGGGAGCCCGCAGATCTGGCGGCCAAGAGAGGCTCTTCCGTCCACCTCCCCCTCCCCCTCCTCCTCCTCCTCCTCCCTCCTCCTCCTCCTCCTCCTCCTCCTCCTCCTCCTCCTCCCTCTCCTCTTCCTCCTACTCCTCCCCATCCGAAACGTGCGCCGTGAGAAATGCGTCTCTGCCTTGGAACATTCTCGTCGGAGATGCTGCGTAGCCTTGCGGAGGGGCTCCGAGAGGGGGAGGGGCCCTGATTCTCCAGCCCGAGAAACCCGGGCAAACTCCGCAACGGGGGGCGCCCGGCGCCCGAGCCACTGATCTCGCGGAAGTTCCTGGATGGACGGCGCCAAGATCCGCCTCCACGCGCCCGCTGGCACGCCACCTCGGATGCGACATGGGCAGCCCAGCTCCGGCGCGACAGCGCGGCCAGCTCGGCCGAGCGCGGCACGCGGACCGCGCCCCCTAAGCCTTGTGGGCACGAGAAGGAAACGATCCCGGGATGTCTGGCGGCCGCCGACACGCGACGACGGCGCGCCCCCAAAACGCCGCCGGCAGGGCGCTCGCTGCGCAGACGGGGGGGTCGGCCTTGGGAACCTCGCCGAGCAGGGCCCGGAGAGTCGGAGATCCCCCCGCCGAAGGGCCGAGGCAGGCAGCCCCCGCCGCTGCCGCCATCGGCGACTGGAGGGCGCTGGAACCCACCCCCGCAACACGGGGGCCGCAGAGGGGCTGAAAGAATCCCCCCTGCTTCAAAATTGCCCGCAAACCCTTGCGCGAGGAGGCGAAAAGACAAAACCCTCGAACGCGACACCTGACAGAACGAACCCTGGACAACTGGAACTTGCGCGCGGCGCGAGCAGGATGTATCTACCCGTAAGTTCCCCTGGGCATGTGACGCGACGAAGTCCACTCGCTGCAATTTCTCGGGCACGGCCTTGCCGGGGTCTCTGGAGGAAGCTGCGCGCCTGTTCTTCGTGGGGGGGCCCGCGAACATGCCTCTTCCAGCCAGCCGCGACGCGCCTCCTAAGCGCTCGCGGGCCCCTGGGATGCAATCCCCTTCGGCCCCTGCTGCTGCTATAATGCAGTCGTCGACCGCCAAGTGCACGCCGAGCCCCGCCCCCAACGAAAAGGCCCTGCCGATCGCGGGGCGAAGTAGACTCGGAAGAGCGTCGCCGCGAAAGCGCGCCCCGCCATTGCGCCCCGCCCCACGCGGAACCCGGACGTCACTAACTGACCGACTTGCAACGCGCGCCGCGCACGGCCCCGAGTGCATGATCAGGGGCATAGCGATGCGACGAGCGTTGAAGCCCTGCAGGCGCGCTTGATAGAGCGATCGACGGTGCCTCGAATGCTCGCGGGCCTTCTGAAACTGCCGAACCCGATGCGGAGGACGCTGATGATGCTGACCCAAATCCACTTGTAGCTGACTGCGCCCATGTTGCTCGCTCGCAACTTTTACCCTGTACCGCGAATGCTCAGTCGCGACCATTGGCCTCCTCCCAAACACGCGCCTCGCGTTTCCTGGCCGCCGACAGCGCGCGCCAGCATGCGAGCGACATCTCTATCGTTCGCCGTGCCCCGTCTGGCATGAGCAGATACCCGATGGTGATCCTCCACAGCTGACTGGGGTAGGCGACCGACTTTTCGGTCTGCGCGAGCAGGATCGGGAGCGCAAGAATATCATCGTCTGACAGCAGACCCAACGCATGCGGCTGCCAACCGTCTGCGCCGACGACCTCCCACTCCTTGAAATCGCCTAGGACGAGGAGCTCCAGCTCGATGTCGAATTCCCTGAATGCAATGTCGCATGTCTATGACGCGGCCTAGCTCACTAAACATGCGAGGCGCACCCCGCATAACCCTTTCCATCCCTGCTCCAGGCCATCCCGGAGCTGCGCAGTTCCCGAAGGGGGCCCTCCATTAGTCCCGTCTGGATTCCACGCCTGCGGGGTGTTGGTGACATTGCGAGCCGGACCACCTCCATCTCTTATGGGGCGACGCGCCCCCACCAGCTCTTGGCCCTAGACTTGGCGGAACAACGCTCCAACTTGTGGGCCCCGACGCGGGCTGCCGGGATGAAGGGTTCCAGGTGCAGGCCGTAGCCCGGCGTCAGCGCCCCGAGGCCGGTTCGGAAAGCACCCCAGGTCGGGCCATTGCGCTGCTTGCCCAGCCACCCCAGGAGTGTTTTTTTTTCCCACGCGCCTGGGCATTCCTGGGATGGGGCCTCTCCTTGGCCAGAATGTAGCCTAATTTCTTAAGCCGATGAAAGATGATGCGCCAGGTGCGCGCCTCAGGAAAAGGCCTTCGGGCACTTGCCCCCAGACTTGGTCAGGGCCGACTTGGCGATGACCGGCGCGCCACAGCCTCTGCCTAGGCAAGGGCGAGCCTCCGACTTACTGCGCCCGTGCATGACAGAGAGCTCCTTCTCAGCATTGTCGCAGAAGCTCAGGTACGCACTGGAGAGGTCTGGCTCGGAGCGGACGCATTGAATCTGCCCGAACGCTCTCCCAAAAAGTCCAGTCGGGCCCGTGGCCGCAAGGGAGCTCCAGCGGAACCTGCTTGGGCAACTTGAGGGCGGGCCGCTCTAGCTCGCATGGCTTGCTTGAAATATCCAGGTTAATGGCCAAGTGTGGAGACGTGCTGTGCTCCTCTTGGCGATTGCTACGCAGGGCACTTGGCAGGAACCTTGCGGCAACCACAACATAATCCAGACTGCTCCAAGATGAGGTAGCGCCTGCCCCCAGCACGTGTATGAACATGTGGCGACCACGGAGCCATAGCCTCCGACCGAATCAGGCCATTCAGAGGCGTTGGGGGTCTTTGGCGGAATGTTCCAGCCGCCCCCCACGATGAAGTGCTTCCCCAAGGCACGAATTGCTTCCCCAATCTGCTTCAAGACGAAGAAACTCGGGTCATCCAAGACGCCTCCAATGATGAGACACATCGACCCCACGAGACACTCTCCAAGGACCAAGCCGTTGACACACATCAAGAGAACCCGTTCAGAAGGCCAAGGGCGTTTGGGGACGGGAACCTCGCAGAGGCCACTGTGGGGCCAAGCGCCCACAATGACCCCCCCTGAGAGGCCACCTCCCGGGTCCCGAGACGGCGCCACCTTGGCCTTCCAAGCGGGACGACCGATCGCCGCCTTCAGAGTGGCGCCTGGAGCTGGTACCATCCCCCTGCAAGCAGACAAGGTCGCCGTCAGCCTCATGTTCCAGGAACCAGTGGGCACCTGTCCAGATCGTAGCTCTACATGTACTGAACGTCCGAACGTCCACGGTTTACGTACACCTGGACTGGGCATATCACTGCGAGGGCTGCAACCCTCCCGTCATCTCGCCGAATTGGCCATCGACCGACGACTGGCGATCACGATGTAGCTGCTGAAGGCACGCGAGATGTGCCGCGGCCAACTCTTCGGGCAACCCTCTTGTCATCCCTCCCGAATCAGCCGTGCCCACTCCTGGCTGCGACCCAGGTGCTGGAGGGCCTCCCGAAGAGGCCCAACGCGCCTGGCAGGAAGGGCAAGGCCGAGGGTTCAAAGTGTCCGCACAGGGGGGTGTGCCGCGGCCATGTGCACCACCGAATCCAGCGGCACTGCCCACACCATGGTGGGAGGGCAAGACAGAGCTACCCCCGCGGCCGCCCAGCAGCTGCTGGAGGGCCACGGCGAGCACCAGCTGCGGGCGCAGACGCGACCTCGGCCTCGTCGGCAGCACGCGATCAGCTGCGTGGGCATGGCGCAAGGGCGTCAGCGCTCTCCACAGCCGCCTCGCCCGCTGCGCGCTGACGTGGGGGAAACTCTCCGAAACCACGAAAAACTACTTCACCTCGACCCGCAATGCCAAGGGCAACCGTCACAGGCGGGGGATACGGAGGGCGTGGAACCATGCGGTAGCAGCATACGCACATGCAAGGACGATTTTGGGGAAAGACGCAATCAAAACGACGATATCGTACATCACGTGATCCGCATGCTTCGAAGAATGAATGTCCCAACCACTGCCAAAGAAACCGCTCCTCGCTCCTGGCTGCGGAGAACATTCATTGCAGAGGTCTCCTAGATGATAGTCCGACAAGATGGGATCGGATAATCGCTCCGCATCGCCGATGCATCGTCGATGCATCGGCGATACATCGAAGACTTCGGCGGTGCATCGGCAACGCCAGCGCGGCGAAAATCGGCATCCACAACGAGCCGCAGCGCCGATGCATCGTCGACGGGGGGAGGGGAATTGGGGGGAGGGCGGGAGGCGGGGCGGAGAAAGCGGGTGGGAGGATGAAGAAATGAGGAGCAAAGAGGGAGGAGGAGGAGGAGCGGTGTAGTTCCCTCCCTGGGGCTGGGCCTGGAGCCAGCTGCTGATCCAGAGTGCAGAAGGCGTTCTTGATGGCCCGAGTGCCCGACACTGGTGGAAGAAACTGGCCGTCTCTGTTCGCTCGAGGCGGCGGATGTCTGGGTCCTCCTTGGTAAGGCTTCGGCGGGCTGCGCAGAGACACTCCCCCATTTAAGGATGGCTGGCCTCAACAGGCGCCCCGAGTAGCCCGGGGCGGTCTCGACGCCTCAACCCTTGGGCGCTGTTGAGGTCAGCCCGGACTACCTAGAGCTAGAAGCCTAAATTACCAATGTCTGGCTCGCCATCGCTCGGACGTCCATTCCCTGTATTTTTTTCCGGTTTCGTGCGTGGCTTTTTCGCCAAATGATCGAGGATACTCCTCGATGGTCCTCGCCGAAGGAAAGATGCACACGTCCGAACGATGCCAAGCTGGATCCTCCTCCTCCTGGGTCGTCCTTCCGTTCCTGGCGGCCGCCCTCCCCACCGCCGCTGTAGCCGCGGAGGCCCTCGAGGGCAGCCTCGAGCTGGCCCTGGAACAGCGCGTCCCCGGGGTCGTCGTGCCGGCCCCCGCAGGATCCTGCAGGGGAAACGCTGGCGGTTCTAACACAAAGAAAACGTATGCACATATATATATATATATAGATATATATAGAAATGATATATATATATATATATATATATATATATATATATATATATATATACTGGGCATCGCTCGGACGTCCATTCCCTGTGTTTTTTTCAGGTTTCGTGCGTGTTTTTTCGCCAAATGATCAAGGATGCTCCTCGATGGCCCTCGCCAAAGGAAAAATGCACACGTCCGAGCGATGCCGAATATATAGAAAATGGATGAGCCTTGATTTCCGGTCTGGTGGGAGGGCTGACTCGCCAGCGCCCCAGGAGAGCCCCACGACGGCCCCAGGAGAGCCCCCAAGACGGGCCACGAGGGATCCGAGAGGCCTTCCCGACAGTCCGGGAGGGCCCCGAAGCGCCGAGCGATCGGTCCAATACGCTCCAGGGGGCTCCGGACGGCCCAAGAGGTCTCGAAGGCGCCCCAGGAGGCCTCCAAGAGCCCTCCCCCAACGGGGCGCCAGGAGGCAAAACATCGTCCCGGTCCCTTCGGACAACATGCAATGGAAGGAGGTGCGACGTTTCGGCCTTCACGGCGTCCAAGACGGCCCAGGAAGCCTCCCAGATCACACCAAGACGGCCGACGGCCCAAGAGGCCCCCAAGAGGCCCCCAAGAGGCCCCCAAGAGGCCCCCAAGAGGCCCCCAAGAGGCCCCCAAGAGGCCCCGGGATGCTCCAGGAGGGCCCCAAGACGGCCCACGAAGCGCCTAAGACGGCTCAAGAGGGCCCTCAGTAGGCCCCCAGAGGGGTCCAAGAGGGGTAACTCGAATTGCGATTTCGAGCCCTCCGCCCCAAGGGGACCACCTAGACCGCCAGCAGGCCCCTAAGAAGTTCAAACAAGCCCCCCAAAACGTCCAACAGAGACCCAGAAGACCTTCAAACAGCACGCAAAAGGCCTCCTGACAGGCCCCAGTGACTCTGAACTCGGAACCCACAAACGACCGCGCCCCGTAGCCGTCCCAACCCGATCATATACCGAACCGAGGAGCCAATTAGCAAGGCGACAGTCAGAAATTCATGTTTGCCACTTCTACTCGTATATACATTCACACACACTAGAATCACGCGCGCGCTTCGCGCGCGTATAGGTTCCAGCAGTCTCTAGTTGTAGTCTAAAGTTTCCGGCATCGAAGGACACATAGAGACAGGCTTGGCTTAGTGTCCCCCCGCCCATGGCGGCACACCCCTCACAGGGCTCTCGACACACAGAGAGCTCCACCGTCCCCAGAGACGAGGTGCGCAGAGTAGCACGCCCCTCACGCGGATCGTGCCCCGCAAGTAACTGCACCTGTGGTACCAGAGGGAAGCTTCATGGCGTCGCCTCGCTCACTTCGGCACACCTCTCACACGGACCGTGACCCGCAAGGACTTCCACGGACAGTCCCAGAGACAAAGTTCGCATCCCGCCTGCTCGCCTACTTCGGCACACCTCTCACACGGATCGTGGCCCACAGGGATTTCCACCTACGGCCCCATGAACAGGGTTCGCACTGCGCCCACCCCCTGACCATTGTGGCAGATCCAATCACGCGGATCGTGCCCACAAGGAACACCAACTAAGGGCCCAAAAACAAAATTCGTACACCGCACCCGTCCATGTCGGCACACCCGTCACGCGAATCGTGCCCCAGAAGAGGCTCCACCGATGGCATCAATGGACAGCTTCGCATGGTGTACCCCAGCCCATTTCGGAACATGCCTCGCACGGGTCGTGCCCAGAGGAGGTCCATCTGTGGCCCCAGTGGGCGTGTTTGCGCGGGGGCATCCGAATCATTCGGCGCACCCTTCACGCGGATCGTGCCCAGCAATGAGTTCTTTGCACCCGTGCACGTGTGCTCCGCAGCAACCATCGTTCCGCAGTGCTCCGCGGCGCGCAATGTATGAAGAGAGACTCCAGCCCTGCTCTACACATGACTGCAAAATAATGTGTCCATCACTAAACCAATTGCGTGCTTATTTATGTGTATGGCCTTCGGCCTATACTGCTACAGTGCCTGAGTTTTGCCTCGGGGGCCCACTCGTGGCAGTCGGAAATCCCCCTCTTGGACTCATCTTGGGGCCCTCTTAGGCCGTCATGAGCGACTCTTGGACCGTCTTGGGGCTCTCTTGGGCCGTACTGGGCCCTCTTGGAGGCCTCTTGAGACGTCCTGGAGCGATCCGTGGGGCGTCTTGGGCCGTTTTGGACGCTGATATAACCCAACATGCAAATATGCTGAAGATGGATGTGTCTCCGAAGGAATGACGAATTTGGGCATCCTGTGGCCCTCCCGAGGCGCATCTTGGAGCCGTCATGGGATGGCTTCGAATCTTCTCAGCCGTCTCGAAACACGATTCAAGCGTTTTCGGGCCTTTGAAGCCGCTTGTTGGTGGGAGCTGTTTTGATCGGCAGGGGAAATGCCTGGGAGGCTTCGGAAAGGGTCCAAAATGTCGCGGGCCAAAAAAGTGGGGGAAATCCAGGTGTCCTGGCCTGGGCCCCGGGCCCCCAGTACCCCAACACATGCGCATACAAGTACATATATACAGATGTGCTTGTATCTGTATATACACAACTTTATACATATATATATATATATATATATATATATATATCGATAGACCTATATATATATATATATATATCGATAAACCTACGTATGACCATAATGTTGGCTCTCGTCCGATCATGTAAGCTTACATACGCGTGCGCCGCCGCGCGATTCTGGCTCAAGTAAATGTAAGGGCAAGACGAGACTGGCGTCTTAGCGGACGAAAGGTGCGCGCGCCCTTCTCTTAGCGCGCGTGTACCACCCTCCGCTCCGTCTTCACAATTACTGGCCCCATAACCATAGACATGTCGCACAACATCGGCAAGGACCCATGCATCTACAAGGTCCATACGAAGGATCCCCTGGGTTAGGGGACCAGGGCAAGGGAAACGCTTCTTAGTCAGGAAATGCCGATTGTCTGACGAAAGACGTACACAATTGATATATACATATATGCGTATATGGTCGGAGGTTGGGGGGTGAGATCGAAGTGGAACGGAGAGCCCCCCTACCGGGAAATCGATTTCGGTTTCGTGTTCGTGCGTGCCGTGCGGGCGAGGCGAAGCTGCGTGGGCGGGCGAGAGGAAAGTCTCCTATGGCTGAGGCGCGGCCGGACCAAATGATTCTCCGCCGGGCGGCCGGTGGCGCGCGGTGTCCCGCCGGTGTCCCGCCGGTGTCCCGCGAAAGTCCCGTGTGGCTGAGGCGCGGCCGGACCAAATGATTCCCTTCCGGGCGGCCGGTGGCACGCGGTGTCCCGCCGGTGTCCCGCGGTGTCCCGCGGTATCCCGCGGTGTCCCGCGGTGTCCCGCAGTGTCCCGCCGGTGTCCCGCGGTGTCCCGAGAGGATGATGATGATGATGATGATGATGATGATGATGATGATGATGATGATGATGATGATATGATGATGGTGATGATGAGATGATGATGATGATGATGATGATGATGATGAGGAGATGATGAGATGATGAGATGATGATGATCGTGTCCCGATGAAGATGATGATGATGTTGACGATGGTGTCGATGATGATGATAGTGTCCCGATGATGAGGATGATGATGCTCATGACGATTATGTTGAAGATGATGACGATGATGGTGTCCCGATGATGATGATGATGATGATGATTCCAATGATGCTGGTGATGATGATGTTGATGAAAATGGTGTCCCGGCGATAATGATGTTGATGATGATGATGTTGATGATGATTATGGTGTCCCGATGATGATGATGATGATGATGATGGTGATGATGGTGATGCTGATGGTGTCCCGATGATGATCATAATGTTAATGACAATGTTGATGATGATGTTGCTCATGATGATGGTGGTGCCCCAATGATGATGATGTTGTTGATGATGATGTCGATGATGATGATGATGATGCGATGATCATGATGATGATGGTGCCCCGAGGATGATGACGATGTTCATGATAATGTTGATGATGAGAACGATGGTGATCATGATGGTGTCCCGATTATGATGATGATTCTGATGATGCTGCTGATGATGATGACGATGACTGTGTCCCGATGGTGACGATGATGTTGTTGATGGGGTGATCATGATGATGATGATGATGTTATCCCGATGACTTGATGTCTATGATGATGTCTACGATGATGATGACGGTGCCCTCATGATGATGATGTTGGTGATGATGTTGATGTTGATGATGATGATGATGATGACGTTGATTGTGAGAGCGATTGTGATATCGATAGTGAGATCGATATTGCGACCGAATGTGAGCTCGATTGTGTGATCGATTGTGAGATCGATTGTGACATCAATTGTGAGATCGATCGAATGCGATAGATCGAGTGAGATTGATTGTCAGATCGATCGAGTGAGATCGATCGAGCGAGACCGATACTGAGATCGATAGTGAGATCGATAGTGAGACGGATCGAGTGAGATGTTGGTTCCCCCCCCTCGAACCTCCTTATCACCCGAAGGGTGGTCGTATAGGTATACGCGTATGTATATAGGAGGTGAGGGGGTGAGATCGAAGAGGGAACGGACAGCCCCCCTACCGGGAAATCGGTGTCGGTTTCGTGTTCGTGCGTGCCGTGCGTGCGGGCGAGGCGAAGCTGCGTGGGCGGGCGAGATGTGTCCCGCCTCTGGCTGAGGCACGGCCCGACCAAATGTTTCCTGTCCAGGGCCCGGTGGCGCGCGGTGTCCCGCCGGTGTCCCGTCGGTGTCCCGATGATGACGATGATGATGATAATGGTTGATGATGATGATGATGATGATGATGATGATGATGATGATGGCGATGGTGGTGATGATGATGTCCCAATGATGATGTTGATGATGCTGAGGTTGCTGATGATGATGATGGTGGTGTTCCGATGATGATGCTGATGATGTTTATGACCATGATGTTGTTGATGATTATGAGATGATGAAATGA